GTGAGTCTAATCATGTGGGGGGGCTCTCAGAGATATAATGGCTATGTTTTAGCTTGAGCATGACTGTTTGCGACTTTCTGAAAAGAAGTTGGTCTTTTTAGTGTTTCTAACACTTTATGTGAACATGAGTGTGAGAGGTTGCTAACTCAAGTTAAAAAAAAAAACACATTAAAAACTCACTAGTGACACCAGAAATCACATGGATTTAGTTATCCAATTTTGCCTTTCTTGCTTTGGAGTGTTTTGGATGCCATCTTTATGCAACCACAAGGAAAAAGAAACCATAAAGGAATCATTAAAAAGAATGAACAAAACCACAACAAAAACAAAACAAAAGGGGGGGTGGTGGTGGTGGTGTAGGAAACCAACCAAAAAAACCCTCCAAACCTTTTTGATTCCAGCAACTAGGTAACAGTCGGACGGAACAAGTTATCAGACTTAGAACCATTTAATAGGTGGTATGCAAAAAAGTGTCTAAAAAAGGTGACCTCCACCATTAACACTGACCTTCTGTGTAGTTGCATAAAACGAAATCATGATAGGATAACAACGCCACAAGTTAATAGTCTAACATTTTTATGCTTCTTTTTTTCTTTTTTGTGCTTATGGTAAACAGGGGCATCTGGTTAGAGGACAGGTAAATCCCTATCTACTTTAAAAGATATTTAATCTTTTCAGGAGGTGGCCATATTTTAGTCATGAAATACCTGTTTTTTTCACTGTGCAGGAAATAGGCCCTGAAAGAGCGAGCTTTTGTAAAGTGCTGTTTGGTAAGCACAGATTCTTATTGCCAGCTTTCTACTGGCTGTGAAGTATTCAGATTTTAAGAAAAGCCACCTCCCTGCTACATACTTTCTTCTTGTGCTAGGAAGAGCAAGCTACTTTATGAAATTATTTGGCAATAGAAACTAGGACTGTCAGCAGTGTGCTGGTGTGCTGTTAGGAGGCACTGTGCTGCAGGGAGCCTTTGCTGCAGAGGTGCTTCTGTCAGCTGGGGCTGTATGGGTCACGCAGCGCCTCTCCTTAAGAGGAGGTAACAGAGACCTTGCTCTGCTGGAGACACGTCCTGCATTGGAGATCTGTTTGAGTTAACATGCTGCCTGCCTGGCCTGTCTCCTTAGTAATTTTAACAAGTATTTCGTCACTTTTCCTACATTCCTGAATAATGTCATTATAAAGCTATTGTTCTTCATCTGTGTGAGAAAACCATTTCTGTTGTGGTGAAGAAATACTTGTGTGGAAAGCTGCTGAGGAATAAATAAAAAACCCTGCAGGAGTCCCTTCTGAGTCAAATGGTTGTATAATGCAGTGCCTTGATTTGTAAATAGAGTCAGCAGTGTAAATGGCAGTTATTTTATGGTTACAGTATAAGCCAAAATTTGCAAGATTGAAGAGTGAAACCAAATCAGTGTCTTCCCATCCTCTGTTCCTTGTTTTTCTTCCTTTTTGGTCTTTGCCAATTTTATGTTTCCCTTCACTATATCTTCTATGGAATAACACCATGTCAGAGGTGCAGTGCTCCCAGCACCCATCATTGAATATCCATTGAGCCACAGGATAGAGGAACTCACCTGCCTGCAGATTCAGGAAGGCACAATTGCATTGATTAAATGTAATTCATATATACAAGGTTATTTTTGCATCAAGTCTAGAAACTTACTTTTAATGAATGCTTAAGTTTTGACTAAGTTGATTCATTAAAATAGATAATGAGGTGATAGCCTGGCCCTTCTCTCAAACCATGACTGAAAATCAATTTTATAAAAGTGCATGTATGGAAGAGAATTAGTGTTTGCTTTGACTCCATTAAATTTAGTTATATTCATGGCTGTGTTAGAAACAGGCAGACATTTTCTATGTGGAAAAGGTAGCTTTTTGAGAATCCACATATTTTAGTCAAGCAAACAGATTAATTTTCATTGTTTTTATTGTCTACCATGGCAAATGGTTTCCCCTGGGGGAAGGCAAAGCAGGAAACTGTGATTCTAGTTGCCCCCACAATAAGAGTTAAAATTTAATGACTATCTTTCCCTGACTTTCCCCTTGATAGTTGTTCTTTTGCCAGTAGCTTTTTCCTTCTTTGCCTCTTTTTTTTTTTTCCACTTTTAAAGTTAATGTAATTCTACTCATAAACCTCCTGACCAGATTTTGTAATGTTTTAGTTGGAAGAATGCTTTTAATAGTTGCAAAGGAGTTGGTTCTGTCATTCCCTCTTGCTTGTTCTTACGAAATCTTGATGCCAGCTCTGAATACAAAGGTAAGCAAGGAGTTAACTGTGCAAGTGAAACTTTCATAGTGATTGGATTAAGACCAGAAACCCAGTAAGCAATGAAGTCTTAAAGTTGCCTATAAAAAGCTAGATAACTTTTCAACCTCTGCCCAACATGTTATTTACAGTTCTTCACTCCATCCTCTTGGAAAAACAGAACTCATCAGTGAAAAATGTCCGTCGTTCACAGAGTTTTCTGTCTCAATATATACACACTGTTCTTTCTGGCCAGCTCTGCAGGCTTCCAAGACCCAGCTAGTAAAGATGCCAGTAAATCTAAATCCCATGGGGGTTTGACCTGTCGTTTGTGCCAGTGGTTATTAAACAGCTATTTTTTTCCATTTGGTTTCCCTAGGAAAAGTTTCCTCTTTTGTTGAGTACATTAATATCTAGACAAATGTAAGCTAGGGAACAAATGACCCTGAAAGAAACGAAGATATGGCTTTGTAGAAGAGAGATTGTAATGGAGCTTGTAGTGTGTTACAAGACATAAAGCAGTTAGTTTTAGAGCTGGATCTTAAAACGTTAACAGCAACTGTTTAACCCACTCTAAACAGTATTTGAAAGGTGCAGACTTTCTGGAATACTGTGTGATGAATGTCCTTTTACCAACATGTAATGAATAAATCCATTATTTGTTTTTTTTCACCTGCCAGCTCTGTATCTGATACAGAGATAAGAGACACTTAATAGGGTTAGTTTTAAAACAGGTTCTTTGCTTTAAAAAAAAATATCTAAATGGGATTTTTAAAAAGCTGAATAGATTTTTAGAAAACTGAGCAAATGAATGGTGACATTAACTTCATTAAAGCAGCGTATTTTATGAGAAATATTCTTGGAACTGCAGTTCTCAGCAGAAGGATCGAAATATCTTTTGTGGATACACATTGCCTTACTGTAAAAATGAAACCAGAAGAACGTGGGCTGAGAGCAGCATGACAGGAGTCTGTGTGTACATCTGTGCAAGTGGAGAGCATTTACAGATAAATATTTTTAATTTAATGGCTACAGCAAGATATAATTGTCCAAATTAAAGAGGTTAAGCTGGAGAAGGTAAGATGGCAGATGATGATACGCAAGAACATAACTGTTGCTGTGCAATAGCTAGTGTGTGATTAATGGTTTGCTAACTGATTGCAGCATGATTGTGTGGGGCTTAGATAAAGGTACTGAGGCAGGAGTTCTCTGAGTAACAGTACTCTGTCTTTGGCAAAAATCCTAAAGTTAGAGGAGTAAAAATGTTGAGTATTGTATAGTATTATTGTTCCAGACTGTTTGGCTCCTGTGGAGGAGGTAGGATTTCCTGGCTTCAATATGAATACTTTTGGAGTTTGGGTGACAGCTACTACGTGAAACAGCCAATAGGGGTGACCATGTAAGCAAGGTGACTTTCTCAGTCTCCTGACAGAAATTCAAACAAAAAGATGATTGAGTGGGTGAGCAACAGGAATGAAGTCCACAGTGGTCAGTATTTTAGCTTGCTCCTCTGAACACTCAAAGGTATGACTGTGATCCAACTAGGAAAGTCCTATTAAAGCTTGAGGGAAGAACTTCAAGAGCTTTATGACTTTTGTTCATTTCAGTTGCCTAAACTTCATCTCCACCAGTTTGCTTCCTTACCTCCTGTCAATAAACAGTTTTATTTGGCTTACATGAAGTTGTTTAATTTTTCTGTAGGTTAGAGGAAGCAAAATCAGAAAAAACACAGACCTTTCACTTGAAGCACTTCCTAAGAGTTACTCAGAATGAATTACTGATTTTGCTGGCTATTTGGTTTGCTGACATTAAATAAAAATCAGAATTTAAAGCACCTACCAAGTCATTTTCTAGTTAAATCTTCAGCTGCTCCCTGTGTGTATGTTCAGAGTGTATCAGCACTTATACCGTGATCTGCTTACCAGAGTGGAACTAGTAAGTCATTAATGTAATGGCCTTACATATACTCCAGAACACTGACTCCAAAGTGACTGACTCCAAAGTGACTAAAGTATTTCCAGTGGGAAAAATTTGGACAAACCTGAAGATAGGCCTGGCTTTTATGTCTGTGTAGCTCATCCATGGAGAAGTGTGTAGCCATCCCAAATTCTATGACACTTTAACACTGTCGTCTATCATGACTGATCTGCTTAATACAAAGCACATATTTTATGTTTATAATTTATGTGTGTGTCACAGCTAATGGCATATTCAGGGTTGAAAAACATTAACAGAATCATAAACGAGATTTTAAAAAGTAGGGGTTCCAGCCCAGTTTAGTTCCATAATGGAGGTGGGACTTTCCATTTGAATGCAGTGCAGTAATTTCAAAAGCATTTTCTTTGTAGTGCAAGAGAAAATATTCCTAATAGGAGTGTGTTAAAATGAACATTCCACTTACTTTGTAAGCTGAAATACTGACAATGGGATAAACTTAATCTTTAACAGTTGTTTGGTGGCACATAAAGGTGATGTTTTCATGCCTATAATGAAGTAGCTGTTCCAGCAGGATCCACAGAAAAACATCTGGCTGTTTGCCCTTAATCTGACAGGTCTGTACTGAGGGTCTTACTGAATTTCCTAACACATTTATGTCAGGGTATTTTCCTTGTAACTTTCTTTGCAATAAACAAAAAAGCAGAAGTATTTTTCTGAATAATTATACTAAAATGAATGTTGCTTTCAGGACCACAAAACATTACATTTTAGCATTTCAAGTAAAATGAACAAAAAAAGCCTAATGTTTTAACATTTAAGCTAAGCCAGAACAAAGACTGAGATTTTGAAGCTTAAGCTTTTACCTTTTATTTTTTTAAAGAACTCTTAAAATGTTTAAATTCCAGCAGCAAATAAGCAATACTCCATATAGTTTGTAAATAAAACACTAAGGTATAGAAGTACTAGAAACTGATGAAAATTGAAATTAACAATAGCTAGGTTTGGTTTTGTAAGAGAGATTATGAGAATGAAAACCTAAACAAATAGTGTCTGATTGGCATGTTCATTCCTTATTAGCTCTTCCTTTGCACAGATCTTGGAAGTAAACATGCTGGCTGTATCTACTCCGTACCTTCTATAATGAGATGCTCTTGCTGCTTTGCAAGCACAGCAAAGCTAGAAAAAGTAGTTCTGAATAGCTTTTTTCACTTTAAGTAAATGAGAATTTGCCAGTTAGTGCCATATCCAGGAGTTACTCTTCAGACTTTGCCCCCCATAGTTCTTGTGGCCGTTGTTCTGTGAAGGGTTGTTTTTTTTTTTTTTCATCTTAACCTTTTAACAGTAACTGCCCAAAACAGTTGTATAGAAAGAAACAAGAAAATGTTCACCATTTCGTAACTGGTCTTCAGTTCTTGCAGTACAATAGATCCACATGTGTATCCCAGAAAGGAAATACAGTTTTCTCCAGAGGGGGCAGGGAACAAGACAGCAAAATGAGTCCTGAATGCTTTGTCAGCAGTAAAATGGGATCTGCAGGCAGTAAATTCTTGTCTTGCAGGGATAAAACATGACCAACAGTAGAAGGACCTCTTCAGTTTTACTCTTTGTGTGTGCACGTGTGTGTGTTTATGTGTATTTTAGGATAAAGAACAGTTAAATATTGAAGAACAAAGACCTTTTAGGGCAGGATAAAAATGAAAGAACTATTACTTTAAAGTATGTTAGACAATAAAATTTATCTTAATAGAAAATAAATGTGATCTTCACAGTGGCTAACTGGCTTGAGGACTTAGTCCTGCTCCTGTGACTGAAGTCCAAACCCAAGGTATTGGTGAGAAGATTGCTGCACAGTTTGATACTAACGCACTTTCTTCAAGTGTCTTGTTAGCTCATTCAAATGTCCTGTAGAAGTATGGAAGCTAAAAAGAATGAAATAATACTTCTGAGTCCAGTTGCAGCTATTTCCAATCACAGAGAGTGGAATTTAGCTTCAAGTTGCGTTCGCTGTACTTGACTGACGAGGGACTGTGCAGTGAGTGTTTTCAAACTGAAGGAAGTCTAATGGCTCTCGATGAGGAAATGTGCTTGGGTTCTCAGCATTGCTAGGTTGCTTACTGAATTTCAACAGAAGATATTTACACAATCCAGTCCTGAACTGCTTTGGAGATTTTCAGTACCTGGATGAGGCACTTGGGAAGCACAACATTTGAACTGGGGGGGGGGGGGGGGGGGGGGGGGGGAAGAGGAGACAGACAGACAGGACTTAACTGCTTTACACATTTCATGCCCAGAGAGTTCTCAGCTTAGGATTTAGCCATTCAGTCAATGTGACCCTGCTGACAAAGTGTGGGAGAAAAGGGAAGAATAATTTTAAGCAGAAAGGGGGGTTTCTTTTTTTGTAAATCAGTACTGCAGAGAGTATTGCTCTCTTTCTGAAATTGTTGCTAGAAATTGTAGACGGTGTATTCTGGGCACAGCATTACTGTGACAACGTAGGCAGGTAAACCATTCACATGTAGGCCTATTTTGTGGGTTATGTTGTCACTGTCTTTTCAATATGTCACTTTTCTCCCTTTAAAATCTGACAAGTCCCTGCTTGCTTTTTCTGAATAATTGAGCCAGAATAAAATTTCCTGCCTCTGTATGTTCTCAAATCGATAAGGTAAAGCAAAGCAAAGTGTCTTTCTTCCTGAAAACTTCTGTCTGAGAGCTGTCTCCGGCAGCAGACTGAAGCTGACAAAATGAAAGGCCCACCAGGAGATGAGTCTGAATCTGATGTCTTTTAAGTATGTGGGCAGCAAGGGGAAGACAGCAAGATGATATACCACAGATTTCTGTTCCAAATCTCCTTTCAGTTTCTTGTATTCCTATTGCTACCTTTTGACATATTCCTCTCCTATTTTTCTATTTGCATTTACTCTTTCCGTTTGCCCTTTAAAGAACAGCAGTTCACATGTACTGTGAGGACAAATAATTAGGTATTATTTTACATTTGTTTGTCTCTAGACAAAGACAGCATATGTTCCATATGAAATTCCCCAGATAATAGCTTTATCCATAGAAACTCCTGTTCTTAAGAGGAGTAAGTTTGTCTGATGTAAAATTATATTTAATTGGTTAAAATATTCTTTTAGAATTAAAGTTGTGGTTTTCAAGCAAAACTAATTGTCAGAAGGGACCGAATTACCCTTATGTGTTGAATATTGAAGAATGACAGGTTTTGAAAAGGTTCAAGACCTCTGAAGGTCCAGATTTGATGCTTGCTTATGTTTCTCTTTGAAATTCAGAAGGAATAAAATTACCTCTTTATAAACAAGAAATACAAACCTGTATATAGCCAGGATAGCATCTTGACAATAAAATGGGTAAATACATGAAATGCGAAATACATTTTTCTCTCCTCCTTCCTCTTTGCTTTCCTTAACCTGGGTTACCTACTGACCACTGTGTGGGTTTAACTTAAGTGCGGGTATGTTGTTGGGTTTGGTCATTGGTAGCAGCCAGTTCGGCTACTCAGCATTAGTGATTTCCTTACCGTAGTTGCCTGGAAAACATAAGACCACAAAATTTGCTACTCGGGATTAGGCTGGGTTTTCTAGGCAAATATTCCATCTGGTAGCTATTGTTATCTGCCTGTTTGCAAGAAGATTAAAAATATCTGAGTTAAAGGAAGCAAATGCTGCTGCTGAAGGAAGAACACTTTCTAGTTCCTGTAAGACTTCCATTGCACTGGAAACTTGGGATGACTCTTATCTCTATGAGGGGAAGAGGAAAAAAAAAGCCACCTATAAGTGAAAACAATCTCCTACTTTTCTCCTTTTCCTAAGTGGAAATCAAGTTCATGCTAGGATTTACAGTGCATATCCTCTGAAGAAAATCATTTGAAAATGGAACAGAATTTCAAATACATTGACATTAACAAACTCATATGCTGTGTTTGCAAGGAAAGCTGCACCCTTATCTCGACAGGGCAGAGAGGTCTGGAATCTTTCTGGACATTCATTATTCACCCTGGAACATTTCATTGAGAAATCCCAGTGTGCAAAAGTTAAAAATGCTTAAAAGTGTAAATTCACTTCCATCTGACTCCTGGTATTTATTGTGGCACTGGAGAGTGGGTGCTAGAGCTCACATCCCATAGGTGATTCTGGCTGAGACATTCCTCAAACTTTCTCTGGTTAATGATTTAAAGATATAGAAATTTGGGGGGGGGGGATTTGAAGAAATACAACTCTTAAAGAAAGAAACATGGGGTGAAATACAAACTTGCTCCTTTTTAATGGTCTGGAATTGTGCTTTGCCCTCCTCTTTTCCCATTATAAATAACTGAAAAAGAAGTATAGGACATGGTCTTTGAGGATTAACAGTTGCATCTAGGACAGTTGTTCTTTCTCAGAGATGGTTTGCTGAACTGAAACTATTCATTACCAGTATTTATTTTTAAAGGGATAAATGTTAGGTCATCTTGTTGACTCTGGGCATATTTCAAGTTCCCTGTAATTGTTCTGTCAGTCTTTTTCCCATCCATCCTTTCTTGCCAAAACGCATAAAGTTGCATCGGTTTGTTCCTGTATCACCTAAATTTAACTTAAAAAAGCAGCAGATGTTAAGTAAAGCCTTCATTTGCAGTGTCTTCAACTAATAAGCTAAGAAAATACTGTATCATCTTTTATCCCTAATCAGCCAGAAGACTTGAACAGTGTCCTAAATACTGCCCTTTGTAAAAGTAATTAATGAAAAGGCCTTTGCTATTACATAGTGTTGTGTCTGAATACAGGTGTAATGGTGCTAGCCATCCTCTGCAGCAGGCATTTCATCAGCAAGCCTGGAGCAGGGGCAGTGGGATTATGGCTAGCTAAACCAGAGGTGTGTCTTAAGAGTGTGCGTGTGGGTGCATCTGAGTAACTCGAGGTTATTTCTGACATGAGCATATTTGCTCCCTTTCTGTGATCACCAAGTACACAGTTTTATCCACTTTTTGCTCCAACCTCACTGAATTTTGAGTGCCTTTATAATGCATCACCCATATCCAGAACGTGGAAGCCCCATAGTCTGTGTCTGGTTCCCACAGGTACAGGGGATGCGACATACAGTTCTCTGGGCATCTGTTTTTTACCTTAGGTAACATAATTGGAATTCTTTTGCTCAGTAGCACCATAAGTTATGAACACCTGCATGTGCAAATACTGCAAAATACATTCTGCTTGTGATGGTTCAGACAACTGAGTAGAGACAAGAACTGATAATAAACCTTTGGAATTGGCTAGAATCAAAGATAATCTGTGGTGAAAAACATACCCTTTTAAACTCAAAGAGACAAATTTGTTTCCTTAATTTAAGTTGGTAATGGACTATTGCCAAATAATGTTTCTGTACAAAAGCAACAATGAATCAGACATGTATTAAATATTCCAATTGGTGATGTTTTAAAAATCTGCTTGTTTGTAAAGCAGTTTGAAATCTAGTAACTAAGTATTATTATAATTATTGTTTACCTTTCATTAGCATTTAAAGACATCTCTGTTCTTGCTGGTTTTTATGGTACCATGACTGCAGCATCTAAAAGGTATTAATTAGAAAACAAAATCCTTACATTGCCATGCTTATGGCTTAAAGGTGTTTAATTGTGCAGAACTTTTCTATGACATAATTTCCAATCTAATGAACACCCAGTCCTTGGGCTATTAACTTCAGACATTTCACCATGTATTTAATCCAGGGACAACAGCTACTTAATTTGCATAAATAAATGACAATGCATAGGAAGAAAACCCCAGTGCAATAGAGGAAATAAGAGCTTGGCTGTTAACAGGGACTAAATGAGTGGATGAGTAAGGACAGGTCAAGAAGGACCCTATTTGCGTGAACACATAGAAAGGAAGTATTAATTTCAGTTTTGTATTTAAAACATAAATCCATGTTATACAGTCAAAAGAGTAAAGGTTAATGGATTTTTGAAGTGGTAGTGCCCAAACTGCATTGTGAATCTGTATAGAATGGGTTACTGCTGCCTTTGGTAGTAAGATGTAAGAGGTGATGAAGACGTGGGTTATTTTAAAGAGTGGTAATGCCCACAGTGAAGTCTTAGCTTTAAAACAAAAAACTGACTCTTACAGTTTAAGTGGGGAGACACAGGGTACTGTTGACTCATTAATGTTATAACAACTAGGAGAGCTAAATTATTCTTCAGCCTTTTTTTCAAGATGCTGTTAAACATAAATGTATAAAGTATGCAAATAAGTGGGAAGGGCCAAGGTATATGGAGCTTTCAGTGTCAGAAGCCTAGAATCAATGTGTTTAGGAAAGAGGAACATCCACAAATTAAAAAACAGGTAAAAAGTGGCTAAAATAATGGGAAAGAAAGATGACCTCAGCTACTGACTTCTGCATTAGCGTGTAGGGACTGTCGCAGTTGTGGAGCAGGCTATTAAACCTGAGTGTCAGTAAACAGGATAGATTTTGAGCAGATGGGAGGAGGAAGAAAGAACCCAAACAGAACAACCCCCTGCAATGTTTGGACAGGCAAGGGGGAAGGAAGTCAAAGCAACTGCCCTGGTTGCAAAGCTGACAACTGAGAAAAAGGAACAAGTAAAGGAACACGTAAATGTTTAAACTGTTGTGTGAAGGTAAATAAGGAGCAGAGCCCAGATGAGTGGCTGGGAAAAGAAGATGAGTTCAGCTGTGCTGTGATTAGGTTGAGAAAGACCAATCAGTTTGCAAGGCAGCATTAGAATCATAGAATCACAGACTCATGGAATAGTTAGGGTTGGAAAGGACCTTAAGATCATCCAGTTCCAACCCCCCTGCCATGGGCAGGGACACCTCACACTAAGCCATGCCACCCAAGGCTCTGTCCAACCTGGCCTTGTACACTGCCAGGGATGGAGCATTCACAACCTCCCTGGGCAACCCACTGCAGTGCCTCACCACCCTGACAGTAAAGAATTTCTTCCTTATATCCAGTCTTAGATGGACTGAGGCTGGCAGTGGACTAGCATACAGTTTGGGTCTCTTCTTGTGGGCCTGACTGAAATGGGAAATATGGAGAGGGAAGTATGGGGGGAAAGTACGAGGGCAGGCCTTTGTTCTCACCTTCAAATAGTTTGAGAAAGGGAGAAAGATGGAATGAAAGTGGTTGCAAAGGACTCTGGTGATAGACATGCAATAGCAGGAGCTGGAGCTCAGTGGAACACTCTGGGGAAGGCAGGATACGACCCTATAAATGAAAGGGTGTGAGAGAGGTGTCGAGCGTGCGGTGAAGGGTGTCCAGTGGCACAGGCAGCAGCGGTGCATGCACGGCGGTGCCTGGGCGAGCAGCGCAGGCCCCACGCACCGAGCGGCCATGGCTGCAGCCTGAGAGAGGCTTCGGCCTCTCCCCTCACGCTCCGAGCATCCCGGCGGGCTGCGGGGAGAGGAGGGGACCGGCAAAAATAGGTCAGGACTTGTGCGATGGCGAAGCGAGGGGCCATGGAGCGGCAGCGGCGGGGTTAGGCTGGGTCAGGCAGTATTTTGGGAAGGCCGGGCAGGCAGGTGGGAGCAGACAGCCGTTAGTAATGCCTGCGGACAGACGGGAGCAGCTGTTTACTCACTCGCCCTAAGTGCGATGGCTCCGAGCCAGGCTCGGCAGTAAGCGGGACCAAACATCCGATGTCAAACAAGACCGGCCTCTGCCTGGGGAGCGAGCAAACAGCGCCGCCCCCCCCCGCACCCCGGCTGCGCAGAGGAGAGGGGTAAAAAAACCCAGATTCGGGTAAAGCCGTGCGGGACCCCGCGGTGCGCGCTCCGGTACCACAGGAAGCGCGCGCAGCCCGCGGGGCCCGTCAGGTGGGGGCGCGGGGGCGGGCGCTCGGGCTCCGCGGGCCGCCGGGGAACTCCGGTGGAGCGATCGCACCGCCCCGGTAATGGTGAGCGCGGAGGAGGGGGGGCGCTGCCGGCGGCGGGGCTGACGATGAGGGCCGGGCGCTGGGGTGAAGGGGGGCGGCGCGGTGCTGGAGTAAGTTTGCTTCCTCCCAGGCAGCAGCGGCAGCGCGGGCAGCTGCCGGGCTCCCCGCTCTGCAGGGCGTTTCTCGGTGTGGCTGCCTGCGCCCCTGCCCGCGGGTATCAGAGCCCTGCCCCGAGCAGCTGGTACCGCCGCGGGGAATCCCGTCCTCAGGGCCAGGCTGAGGCGCTGCGGCCGCCAGCCCGCCCGCAGGAGCTGTGTGTGCGCTCTGGTGGCATTTGCCGTCGTGCTTGGGAAATAGTTGTTCCGTTAGTTCGGTTCGCCTGCGGTCAGACGCTGTAACAGATCTGCGGAGGAAAACCCTGAGAGCGATGGGAGACGGAGGAGTCGAGAGAAGTTTGGAAGGGGGGACGAAAGGGTGAGGGATTTTTGTTGTCTTGGGTCTGTATTGTTTGGGTTTTCTCGGTCTCCTTCCTCCACCCCCTTAGTGGGATGAATTATTTAGCACCTCGTTTTAAATTCATCCCTGAAGCTTGCAAGGGGAGGCTTTCATGTCTAGAGGAAGAAAGGAGACGGTAGGTCTGTAAAAATCATGTCTCTCACAGAGCAACCCAGCTGTGATCTCTGGTGTGCACTCTGCCGTTCTGCCTACGACAGCCGGGCTCACGCTGGAGATTCCCCTTCTTACCGGTGACCTAACAGCAAAGCCTGTTGTTCAGCATCTATTTTGCATGAGCTACTATGCTGTAGCAGTTGCTGCTTCATTCAGCTAGAGAGGGAGGATAAGAGGATTCCAGTTTAATTAGCAGTTTGTTAAAACCAGTCGGCTTTGTCTGCTCACACGTTTATAATGTTAGAATGTATGTCTTAATTGCAGTGAATTCTGGTGGTGTGCATAAAGCAGTGCCACATGCTGTTTGCAGCATTGGCTGTGGCAGCTTCGTGGTTCTGGTGGTTTAATTTACTGCAGCATGTGTTTACTTGTGCAGCGGCAGATTTGCTGTGTGCTGGGGGTATTCTGCATGAAGCAGGTCGAGGAATCAGAGCATATGCTGTGGAGGTTTTTATTGCCCAGAGAGCTGCAAGATGTGGCTTTTTTTTATTGGAGCATATTCAGGTTGACATCTTGAATACCCAGATACTGTTCTGCTTGTTTTCAATAATAGGGCTTCTGTGTGGTTTTAGCATTCTTATTGGAGTCTGAAATACTCTAAATGTTGGGGCCTTCCTCTCTGCTCCTCCCCCTCGCTAATTACTCTGGTTGTTCTCAAACAAATAATTCCTATCTCTCAATATCCCTGAAATCAAACACCAGCAGGCTGTACCCTGTCTTCTGTTTAGCTCAGTGAGTCACTGCCGTGCCTTGTGCTAGATTAAGCTGTTGTAGTCTTGCTGCTGGTTGAATATTGAAGATCCCTTGCGTATACTGTGATTTACATTACTGTAAATAGGGTAATTGAATTACAGCTTCTCTGCAAAGTCTTGTTCCTCGGGTGTTATCAAAGATCAGCCAACTTTAGTTGGGGCGCTAGGCAGGCTGCTGCCTGAATGTTGGCTGGAATTAGACATTTCCACTAGCTCTTATAATTGGATAAAGAACTACTTTTGTTTGTTGGTTTTAAACCCTGTATTGCTGAGGAAGCCCTGGGAGTCTCTGAAAGCAAGACAGCATTAGGTGTTAACTCCCCCTCCAGGGTAAAATACTTGAATAACAAAGTTAATGACATTCTTTTTTTGTGCAGGAATTCCTGTATCAGAGGCGAAAAGATATTCTGAGGTTAGCCATGGGGTGTGTAACAGTAAGAGATTTTTTTGCCTTTTATAGCAGTCAGGATTCATTCAGGGCCTCCACTTGCTGGACAGAGGAGGGAAGTGTTCTATGGATGCTGCTGCTGTAGTGGGGGGAGAAGAGAGAACGGAATGAGTTATCTGTCAGCTCCTAATGACTTAATTTGAGGATCTTAATTGGTGAGGATGAAATGTGCAAACTCACTCAGAGCTTTAGTTGAGACTCGAGTATGGCTTCTCCATGGCTTGATTCCTTTTTACTGCTGCATATGTCTTTTTCTGGTTGATAACTGCTAATATTTGTTTCTTGCTACCTCTTTTAAATAAGGTGTTTCCTGCCCTCAACTTCAGCTGACAAGCAGTTTGAAATCCAGGATGTGTATTTCTGTCATTCCTAAGCCAATGTGAGCCCTCAGATAGAACTGTGACCTTCAGATAGAAACTAAATCATACACTTGCAAACACATGTCTTTATAAAACTGGCATTAAGAAAAGGGAATAGGGAACCCTAGTCAGATCTTACGGGTTTCTGACTCAAGAATAAAAGGCTTTTCCACTGGCTCCTGCTGTCATTTTACCTCTGTGAGGACACTAGAGGAGTTTAAATTTTTGTTCAGTTCTCTGTTGCTTTTGTTCTTCTCAAAAAGATGCAGGTAATTCTCTGCGCTTCCAGATTGTGTGCACATACCGAAATACCAGCCAGTGATCGAGTATGTGCCATTCTTGTTGCTTTGCAAGAGCCTTTTGGGATTTGATGGCTAATAGTGAACAGTTGAGTATGTATGGCACTTCATATTTTCTCTTGGTTGGTAGTACTTGTTTATATTCATGCTATTAAAAAATACTGACAGTTCTTCATTATATCTGGATATGCAGCTATTCTAATTTTTGTAAATAACTTCACTGTCCGTTTAGTGGAATTTACTCACTTTTTCCATAATAGGTTCCTAAATAAGCTGCAAAACCCCCTACCTATGTATGTTTTGAAGGTTGTGGCTCATAAGCTACTAAACATGAGTCTGAGGTCTAACAGCTTCAATGAGAGTCTGATGTAACTTTGCTAATACCCAACCAGAGCTGGCTGGTACAACCACATATTGATATGTCACTTCCTAATGACAACATGGGTCTCTTCTTACCAAGTTGCAGTATGTACAGTACTCAAAATTGTTGGGTTTTTCTTGTGGCGTTATCTTGAAAGTACTTACTTTTTCATACTTACCAGGTCGGTTGAGATGCTGTGCCTAACAGGTTGCTGAGGAAAAATGTACTCTTGAGAAGTCCTTTTGTGTGCCCTCAAAGTTAAATGATGTGGCTGCATGATCACTCACAATGCTCTAAGAGAAACTCATGTATCTGAAGGATGCATCTTAGCCAAAAGGTATCATAAGGACAGTATTTCTAGGTAATTTTATATGAAGATGAAATTAAGCTGAAGGCTCTTCCCAAGTAGTTTTAAAGATTATCACTGGATTGCATTTTATGAGCTGCCATGTGAGACTGATTTAGAAGGTTTTCTCTTTTCAAAGCTGTGATGGATGCTAGTAGCAAGTGTTCTCTGGACCTTTTTTATTTATGTTCCTTCAGGCTCAAAGATCTCTTCCAGCAGGATCTCCTAATTCCATGTGTTCTAGTGATGTGGTGCTGACAGAAAGAACGCTGAGTGCTTGATCAGTGCTGTTTTCTGAAATGATAACGTTTTGCCCTGCACTACTGATCCAACCTGAGACCCTCCAGCTTTTGGTATTTTCTGAGATTTTGAGTCAAACCTGGTGATATATTTGTAAAACACGCAGGTGGATGATGTTACTTTCTCAAAGCATTATATGAGTATGCTGAAGTATTTTGCAAACACTTGGATTTTATAGCTTCTCATCTTGATGTTTTAGTGTGGGTGTCATTATGTAGAAGAGAGTCTGAAAGATGAAAGACACTCCATGCTGTCAGTGCAGGGAAACTGGATGTCAACTGTGGGGCGGGAGTGGGCAGTTCAGCATTTTGTTTGCTGAAAAGTAAGGGGTGTAGGATTAAAGAGCAGGTTTTGTTGGCATTAAAAATTGAGTATTTTGGTAAAAGTACTTTTTAGCACTCTGACAGCCTAGCTTAAAGAACTCAAAATCAGTTGAGTATGTATTGGGTAATGGGTAATTTACATCTGGAACTTGCATATTTAAGTATGTGAAAATGTTTCTTCAAATACTGTGAAATCCTTGAAGCCTACTGAAATAGTAGAAGTTGTCATGTATAAGGAGACCCTTACTGCAGTGTTTCAGCATGAAGACTCTCCAGACAATGAATTATATAAACAGTGTGCTAAATCTCAACAATTGTCACACCTTTTAATGTTACAAAGTTCTTGTCCTCCTTTTCTTTCTAATATCATATACTGCACTAGGTAAGGAAGTGAATCAGCACAAGCAGTTTAGAGATAGACAGCTTTAGGTTCCTGTGAGGCATGTAGGTAGGATTTGGCATTTTTCCTTTGCTGCACTCACCCACCCAACTTGAAAATTAGCTGATGTTCTTGTGAGAAAGCTGTCATCTTTTTCTTGTAGCAGCTGCCTTGCCCTTGGCCCATTTGGACATTCCACAGGTTGTATCATTTTCACATCCTTTTGAACATCTGTCTTATGTTTAACTTCTCCATTTAAGCATTGTCCTGTTGTTATTCCCAGAGGAGTGGAAAAGCTACCCTTTGGAGAGTGAGACATTTATCTGCAGACTTTCTATCCCTGCATTAGATTGCTAGGTATCTCTAATCTCTCTTCTTCATACCCAGGCTTTGTTATGCTTTGCTCCTCTTGTATTGTTTTAAGGAAGGAGTGTTGTCAGGATACCAATAGTAATACAATGTGCCACGTTGGCTGGTTTTGCATATTACCAGATGTAGGCAGAGATGATAGCTGGTAGTTCTGTATTCTGAAGTAGTTTTTTATTTTATTGAAGTAAGGTTGAATTAACCCTCCCTCCACCAAATAGAATCTAATACTGGTTAAAGTGCCTCTTTGTACGCTGCTAGCTGCTTAATTTGTAACCCCTGCGGAGATGGGGACAGTCACTCTACTGACGCAAGTGTAGGGGTCTAGGTAAAAAAAAGAACTGTCAGTCCTGAAACTTGCCCTTCTCTGGCAACCAATGGCTTCTCCCAGCTGTGTTAGCCCCAGTTCTCTTTGTGG